TTGGCTTCTGGACTCGCAACTCTGTTTATCTCATGCAAGCCTCCTCTTCTTCTAATACTGGTCTCACTACCCCATTCAGTGGCTTCTGAACAGATCTTCTCTACCAGATCATATGCTGTTGGTGCCTCCATGCTTGTGAAACCATTTATAGAAGCATTATTCAGGGCATCCCGAAACTCCCTTCTGATTCCATTGAAGAAAATAATGATCACGTTCCAATCTTCAAGACCATGGCTTGGGCATCTCATCAATAGCCCCTTGTAGCGCTCCCATGCCTCAGTCAGACTCTCATCATCAGCCTGCTTAAAAGTAACAATCTTTTCTTGCCTCTTCATTGCCAAGGCAGGTGGGAAGTATTTATCCAGAAATACCTTCTCAAGCTGACCCCATGTCGTGATGGAACGTGGTGTTAAGTTCTGAAACCAGTGTGATGCATTCCCTATCAGAGAGAATGAGAACATCCGAAGACGGATTGCATCATCATATACTGTGGGACTCTTCATTGTATCACATATACTCGCAAACCGGCGAAGATGCCCGTGAGGATCCTCACTGCTAGCCCCAGAGAAAGTATACCCATTGGTGATCATGTTGATGAATGCTGGGGTAATCTCCATAGTTGCATCCCCAGCCGGAATGACAACACATGAAGCTCGGGCTCCAGTCCTTCGATTCAAGCGAGCCCTGATCGAACGATCCTGTTCTGCCATGATGACAGGCTCGTTAATGCGAGGTGGTGGTGTCGGTGGTGTAGGGATGACAGGTGATGAAGCCTGTCCTCTCTGTCGACGACTATGGGTTAGGGAAGGCCTAGGAGTTGTGGTTGGCTGCTTCCCTAACTTGACCTGCTTCCTGTTCTGTCGGCAGGTCTTCTCGATCTCCGGGTCTAGTTGCAGTAAATCGCCGGTCGTCCTCCTAGGCATGCACGAGGAGGATACACCTGAAAAATTCTTCTGCACACTAACACCCAGATCAAAATAGTTCACTCACAAAAATCAATAAAAACAAGGTATGGCAGTCCCCGGCAACGGCGCCAAAAACTTGATAGGTCAAAAGCGTAATGCCAATTCCTATCTTGTAGTAATCCGGAAAGTCCGGGTATCGTCTCTCAGGGACTGGTACAACCTTATATTCTATCAATTCTATGGAGCAAACTATAAGTGAAAATGGTTTGAGTGATGAAACTATTATCTAATGTAAAAATAATTAAACAAAATAAGCAAATTAAAATTGTCGGGAGAAATTCAATGGAGAAAGCTCTGGGAGAAACACCGGGATTCACTACCTATCCTATCCAGATTAATTCACATATTCCAATCAATTTAATCCATACCTCTACAGCCAGGATATCACGAATGTGCTAGCTGTCCCTGTCGAGCATTACTACGTACTAAACAATTAAATCAAATCCTACTGTCGTAGCTCAATGACTTAATTATTTAGCCTGAAGATCGATATCCTATTCAAGACCACATAGCATCTTATTTAATCCACTGTCGCTTCGATAAGTTACTATGTCACATGAAATATGTTCCGTTATTAGGGTTTCACTGTCGCTAATAACCTAATTAACAACAAATCATTGTATTGGTGGCCAGTCAACACAAAGCATTAAGTAATTTCATGCAATAGAGATTGGAAGAAAAGAATCATGAATCAATCCATCAAATCAAGAAATAGCTACATCCTATGGTGTTTCCCCGAGAAATTGGGGTTTAGTTCGTGACGAAATTAAGATAAATCGATAGGGTTTTGTTCATCATGTTCTAAATCAACAAGAAACAACTAATTTGGTTTAGAAAATCCAACCAACTAATCGCTCTCGTTGAACTCAGCTCAAACCTTGGAAAAACTGATCGCCAATTGCTCAATCGCTCTCTGCTTTCCGCTCGTCCAAAGCCTTGCGCTGCGCTGTTGCCGCTGTCTTTTTTTCAATGAGTTCTCGCTGCCCGCGTCCCTTCGCTTTCTTTTTGCCCAAGAATTCCGCCGCTCACTTAATTGCCTCCCCCTGCGTTTCCTTCCTCCGCCTTTTCTATCTCCCTTTTTCTAATTCCGTGTCCCACACCAAAAATCAAGTCCCCCTGCCAAGAGAATTCATCCCTCCATTTCGTTTTTGTGTCCCCCTTTTGCTTTAATTCCGCCACCAAAAACCACCCTGGCCCAAATAGAATTTTGTTCCGTCCCCAGTCCAATTCTTTCCCCCGAGCCCAATTACTTGTTGTGCACTCGCTTCTTTTTCGTGCTTTCTCCACCTGTATCATATCAAACTCATGGCACTAGGCAGTAATGGTTTTTTCAACCATTCTCGGGTTAGCGAGCCCTAAAATAGCACCAATTGGCTAAAACATACCATGAGATAATCACATAAAGTCCAAGAATCCGATATATAAAAGCCGAATATCAATATCGTTATCTCAAGTTCACTCATTTCAATCAACCTCTGACCATTCTTAATCTTATTGTTCCATGCCCTTTCAACCAGCTTCAAACCATTCAAAGCTTTCCTCAGTCCGTACACAAAATCTTGTGGTTGCTTTGCATAGACAACATCCATGTTGCTTAAATTCACCAGAATTCCATGTTCATCGAATGATAGTTTAGCGATTGAGTAGAAGTCACACATGGTCTTGTTTCCTTTGATCAAATTGTCTTGCCAACCCATTTTCTCTAGAAACATTCCGAGCCATATGCGATATGATTCATAATAAGCAGTGGCTACTAATTTTGCTTCAGCTATGATCCAATCAACCACTGGCAGTTTCCTGTAAACCCCGGATACATCTGTTCTTACTTTTTGGAATACACAATCATTCATGCTTCTTCTGTTACCCATATCACCTGCTGTAAAACCAGCTTTGAAACTGATTAAACTAGCTGCAAAACCAGCTGCAAACTTCATCAAACCAACCTCCATTAACCACTTGAACAAACCAGTTGCATTTAGCTTCTTCTTAACTTTCGAGAAATACAACAAACTAGCTGCAAAGTCAGCTAACAAACCAGTTGCAAAATCAACTACACAGATGACGGAACTTGCTGCAATAAGTACATTAACATACTTAGTTGCATCCACTTGGTCTTCAACCAATGAAAGCTCAACTCTAGGAGATATGGAGCCAAACTTGTTGTAGATGACTTGGAACCACCCAACAACCTTCTCTGTATGTTTCTTTTCCTCCCCTGCAGACACAAGGATTTGTGGTTGCAATTTCACTACCTCTGCACAACTTGGAGGATTATAAACATATGCAAACAGATGATTCTCACATATATCCATGTAACCAAACTTACTTTTTATTTTAGGACCCAAATCCTCATAAACTTCAGAATCCTCTTCCTGATCAATGCCAGTTGTTGATATGGAAGGAAGTTGTAAGTAGCTTCCTAGAATGGTCACCTCAAACATAACTTGCATGACAGTTTTGCAACCCTCAATCAAAATTCCAGCACTACTTGCATATATCATACCATTCACATACAAGCTAACGCTAATCAAATCATTCACTTCTTCAACAAATACTGTATGTTCATAGGGACATTCGAAAGCTCCAGTTTGCCAGAAGTACCTGTCAATTCTGTTACTCGATACCTTCGATTTTTGCTCATGTTCACAGCTTGTTTTCTTCATCTTATATATCTTATCTTTCCCTCCTTCTGCAGCTGGTACCACTATTGCTGATTCATTAACTTCAAACTCTGGTTCAAGAGAATTGTGCTTAAGTTCACAGCTCTCTTTCTCTATGTTAGATACATTATTTTCCTCTCCTTTTGCAGCTGGCACATCTGCTGCTAGTTTGTGAGTTGTGGTCGCTGGTTCAAGAGACTTAAGTGTTTCCAATAAAACGTGAGATTTCTCTTCAACCTCCTTGATTGTGTCTAAGAACCACTCTTGCTGTTTATGATGGATCATATTCCCTTTTTGTTCTTCTTTGTCTACAATAGCCATCAATAACATGGCTTCCGTCTTATCCCCAAGATTCCTGTTGCAAGACCTTGCTAGTACACTTGAAAAGTAGTTTCGTCGATACCTATCTGGACATTTATTTCTAAAATGTCTGAACTTGTGACATTTATAGCATACCACTAGTGCACGATCCCAGGTCCTTCCACCTCTTACTCGACGTTTATGAAACACATTCAGGCCTCATCATTCTGAACCAAGCGTTTGCTGAATTTTTGCTCATGAACCATCTGTGAACTTTGAAGAGCATCGTCAGAAAGAGAGTATATATCCTTAGATTCTTTAATGGCGCAAACTATGTAATTGAAATTCTTAGTTAGTGTTCTCATGATTTTCTCAACTATTTTGACATCAGGCATAGATTCACCATGATTTCTCATCGTATTGGCCACCGCCAATGCCCTTCCGAAGTAATCAGCCACAACTTCACCATCTTGCATTTCCAACAATTCAAAATCCCTTCGAAGAGACTGCAGTCGAACTCTCTGAACCCTAGTGCTGCCCTTAAATGCAATCTTCATGCTATCCCAGAGCTCTTTTGCTGTGGACTTTTGTGAGATTGTTCTCAAGATGGTCTTGTCGATTGAATAGAACAAGCAGATTTTAACCTTGTAGTCTTTCAATTTGGATTCTTCCAAGGCTTTGGCGTGAGTTGCAGACTGCATCTCTGCACCAGTTTCCTTGATCCCATCACAAACAACACTCCAGTATTCTTCAGATCTTAACAAGTTCTCCATCAACATACTCCAATGGTCATAGTCACCATTAAACCTGGGTATGCAAATTTGGGTAAAGCTGTCGTCCTCACCCATGATTTTCTTCTTCGCAACTCAACACATGCAGTTGGATTTCACCTCTTAATCACTCGTATTTCTCTCATCCCAGCGTGAAGATCACATACACTCAATCACACTCTTAGAAACGTGGTTCCAGTTTGCTATTGGCTCTGATACCACATGTAGACACCAAATAGCTGCAAACTGACAACCTTTATTCAACACTAATTCGAAGTATATATACAGAGCACTTACTGCCCACTCCCATCACTCTCGGAATCTCTATGTTTACCACTAACCCTCACCCCACAAAATATAGCTAAACTAGTTAACAAACTCAGACCCACTAAACACAAGAGTCTGCAAGCTAATCACTTAACTACTTGGACTTAGCTCGTGCTTGCTCACGTGACTCACTTATCTAACAATGGATACACCAATCCAATCCAATTGCCACCTCTAACTCTAAATATATGGGCCACAATCCCATCTATTGGCATCCCTAACATGGTAGACCCACAACATGCAAACTTTAGGCTGCAATCTTCATGTACATTATTTTAGTAGACCCACTTAGCATGTAAGTTTTGTACCATAAAAAGAAGGAACAACTCTTTCTCAGCTCTCGTCCTTACTAGTACTACAAAGGGAAAACTAACAACCTTTCTTCATCATGCATCAATTATTTATTCCTATTTATTGCAAAGGCCAAACCCAAAACTAGTCATCAACTCATTAATCAGGTCATCATCGGTATCTTTTATTATTATAGTCCAGACGGTAATTCTTAAGAATATACTAACTCTCATACCTCAAAAAATCAGACCGTAGCAAATAATGAATATAGCGTAGCTGAGCCTCACAAAAACAAAAATAATTATATCTCCTTTACCATTTTCTATTTTTCCCGTAAACCCTCACAAAAACAAAATAAAAAAGGAGGGGAGAAGGAGAAACCGAAAACCAAAAGGAAATTGGAGAAAAACGCCTCCATATCCCATTCGAAAAAAGCAAACAACTTTCCCCGTTCACTGATTCTTCTTTTTAACTCGAGCGGGGGACCTCTGCCCTTCTCTCTACACTATTTTGGCTGTATTCACTATTCAGGAGAGCCCACTGTCCACTTCACTTAACCGGTCAGCTTCTGTTTCTTCCCCCTTTCTCTCTTTTCCTGCTATTTTGCTGGTGATGGGTTTCAGGTTGCTCGAGGGTTTTGGGTTTAGTTTGTTCGATGATCAGCTTCGAATAGTCCTTCTGTGTTGAGGGAGTGATCATGGGATTTCGGAATTCCGCTTTCTGTAAGCTTTGCTTTGTTTTGGGACATTATTCTCTTTTTTGTGATTGTTCGTGGTGGGGTATTCTCTTAGTTATCGGTAATTTATATGTTACAGTGATGGTGTGTTTCCATGATCGTCTTAGATGTAATTTGTAGCTCACTCCCCTGTTCATTAAAGGTTTGAAAGTTGCCGAATTTAGTTGTGTTTTTGTGGGTCGTCAATGGCGATCATCGTGTTTCTGTACTCCCCCGAGGCCCCGGTTGTTGGGTTTTGCTTCCGCGGAATTTCGTTGTTCTGGGATTTTCTGAATCGCTTAGGTTTAGCTTTCTCCTTGAGGGTTTTAGACCCCCTACGGTGGGTAAGTCCCTCTGACTTTCCTGGTTGATCTATTTCTTTGCTCTCTTCTTCTGGTGCTATGGAAGAATCAGAGATAAGAAATTCATGGCTTTTTGGGGTTTTCCTCCATGAAAAACTTGTTTGATCTCTTGAATGGCTAAAGAATGTGTATTACTTGCGAATCCCTCTTTCAGACAGATATATTTGTTCTTACGGTGGAACCTCTTTTGCATGTTAAACAGTAGTTTGTGAACCAACGAATTTCCCCTTTTCCTCTGAGAATGCCCTGTAAGAACAGATAGCTCGTCATCTACTCGTCTCAGTATGTGATTATTGGGCCCTTGTATTTCACTTTGGCCTAGTTCTATTGTTGCTTGTTTCAACAAGATGGATGAGAGTCTGACTGATGTAAGCGTTTACCACTGTACTTGCCAGCAGCCTTCTGGGCTTCTTTCTTGCTTTCTTTATGCTGTGTGGAAGAATCAATTGTCACCAAACCAGATCTCTTTTGGCATAGCTGGGATTTGATACTGAGCCATCTTTCTTGATGATACCCTTAGTCTTTATATGTATTGATCTGGTGATCTTATTCTGTATATTGAAGCAGGTTGAAAAGTTTGGTTTTTCGTTTGTGATCCACCATAGGCTCAAACCTGAGAGTAGTTAGAGTAGTATTTGCCTTGTTGAAGGGCCACCTTCTTCATATTTGTCGTCTGTAACATGTTTTTTTCTTTCTGCAACTTTCCTTGGCGGAGCGTCACTAAAAATGACTTTCTGAAACTGTTTTTGATGTGCAGCCATTTATCCGATTAAGTAAGAGGTGAAGAGGCAGGAAATACATCATTTTTTTACTAAAAAACGCACCATTGCAAAACAAGATGGAGGACAAAGTTACGAGTGTGACTTGGGTTGGCGGTATATACAGAAAGTTTGAAGCTTTGTGCATGGAGGCTGATGATATGATGCGCCAGGTATATTGCTCTTATGTCTTATACTGTTGCTCAGCCTTAGGCACTCTTTTTCTTTTGCTAATGAGCTGTATAATCAACTATCGGGATACAGGAACTGTTTATTAATGTTGATTTACTCCTGTTTGGTGCAGGAAGCTCAAGCCTTCATAGAAAACCATCTACAAAGCGTGGGTGCCAATGTGAAGCAGTTTTGCTCGGAATTTGTACGAGATGTGCTTCCTGAGTCTTCTAATGAATCATCTACGGAAGGCAAGCAACATGATCTGGTCTTGAAGGAAGCTACTGATGCGTATATGAACTCTGAGTCTGCTGTTGAGGAAAAGCAACTTCAAATCCAAAAACAGGACATGCTCCCAGAAAAGACCGGTCTTGGGGAGTCAGTATCCTGCAACAACCCATCTGTGGAGGTCACACTTCAAACTGAGTTGCCTTCGGAGTTGACCGTCGACGAGAGCTATTATGAGGAGGAAACCCAACTTCAGTGTGAGAAAAATAGTGTGACATCAGAGGACCCTTGCAAATCCACAGTCTCTGATGATCTACTGGAGAGCCACTCTTCCTCGAATGATGTTCAATCTTCAGTAGCTGCTGAGATGGCAGACTCCAGTGAAGATGAGAGTTTGCATGTTGAACATGCTCCTTGTGAGCAAATCAGTAAGTTGTTTCCTCCTAATCATTCTCCTATACCTATCTTTCGATTGGACATTTAATCTTCAACCTTCTATCAACTTCACCTTACTTACACTGACAATCTACTTTAGCTGCAGGAAACTCTAATCGTTGTTGCATTGATGGAACTTCGAGTTTGATATCTCCCAATGGAGTCAAGCTTGATGAAAGCTGCATTGTAGTGGATGATGATTTAGAACTCTACATTCTTTCGAGTCAGGAAAGAAAACTCGAAAGTAGACACTGGTCTTACAAGGTAATTCTCCGTTCCATGCTTTTGCATTTGCCAACCATTCAAAAAGCAAGGAGACACTATCTAATCCAGTTGGCAATTTCTCTATTCCCCCTTACGGTTTGGCAGAAAAAGTTGAAGGAAGTTCTGGCCTTGGCATCGAAGTCAATGAAGCAGAATCAGAGAAACACGGATCCAGCAGCAGCTCGTTCGGAAGTTAGAGAAGTGGAAGAAGATGGTAATCAGGAGAACAGTGAATCAGACTGGGAAATCATCTGAGCAGTGTGTATTCTTCTTAAAATTTTAAACTTTTCTGGATGGAAAAATAATGAATAACGAGTGTAGAGAGAGAGAGAGGGAGTTGAAGATGTAGCAATTTTGCGGTAAAACAAACAACTGATTACTTTCTCTGTAGCGTGGTGGAGGAGATGGCTTCTCAGTTCTTCTGCACTCTCCCACCAGCGTTTCGCTGTTACTTCACCGGCACTGCCGCACTGGGAAGGGTTGTAGGATTTGATATGTAGACGAGAGTTTCAATTGGTACAGGTAATATATACTGTAGTGGGATAATCTTACTTAAAGCTGATATTTAAAGCTTAATGGTTTCTCCTTGCATCCGGCAGCATCAGATCATCCTAACTATCAAACATATACATAAAAATCAATGTTCATCCAAATTATCTTTTACTTACCTAGACAACCGTAGAATTGCCAGTCCGGATTCGTATCAATACCCGATGTTTTAACTTTTAACCACACATGGTATGTTTTGTGCTTGCAAAGGATGAACCCTTTACTATTGATGCTTGTTGAACTTGAATCAGCTACATTAAAATCCACATTACTTTGAAGTTCGAACCCTCTGTGACACTATTCCAACTATTGGAAAATTAGATGTGGCAATATAAATTGGGCAAGACTACTGGGAGCTAGGATACTGGAATCGGGAGAGACGTAAAGGAGAGGCCGACTCTTGGAACCCGATTCATGGATTGAGCGAGTCGATGACTGGGACATGGGGAGAAGCTTCGACGGCTGGGTCGACGAGGTCGGAACCCTAGACAAGAAGGGACGAAGTTAATGGAAAGGAAGAGAATACAATGGAGGGCAGTATGATATCTAAACATAAGAGGATAAATTTTTTGTTTTAATTTAAAACATGGTGTGGATTCAAATGACGTGACGAGTCTAATTGAACATGACGTGTCGTGTAGGTAGCATCCACATCCTCTCAACTGTCAGGATCGTTGAGGCATTGACGATGTTAATACATTTGATGAAATGTGTTAAATTTGTCAACAACCTTAAAAAGTGTGGCTACTTGGTGCATTTTTAAAAAATTGACTATTGCTGCCAAATAGGGGTGAACAAACACACCTGCAAACCGACCCACCCGTCCAACCCGACCCAACCCACCCGTATTTATCGCTAAAACGAAGGTTTTTGGGTTGGGTGAAGGTTTTCTTTTGTACAACTCGCCTCTTTTGTGTTGGGTTTGGATTTTGGATTACACAACCCGTAGAACCCGACCCAACCCGTGTTCCAACTATTAGTATGAGTTCGTATCTAAAAAATATTTATGTCGTATATAGCAATACTTATGAGAAAATTAAGATATTTCGCCATGTTTTTCTATCATGGTCTCCCTAATCTAATGCATTCTTCGACTTAAAGTTTAGACATGAATTGAATATAGTTATGATTCACGTAATCCTTTTTCTTGTGCACAATTTTAATAGAATAACATATTATGGATGCGTTTGTTTATAAGCTTTTTAGCCTATTTCAACAAATATCGTGAAAAAACTAGACATATGTTGAAGTAAATCACATTTTATTAAAATTCAAATAACATTTTTGAATTTTGATACCTTTCACATCGGTTTATACGTTTGAAATTTTAATTAGTTATAAAATATTTTTATGATGTATAATAATTATATATTTTATGTTGGGTTGGGTTTTTACTTAAAAATATCGCCAACCTGACCCAACCCAATTAGAAACAAACCATAGGGTTTTAATTTTTTTTGGGTGAGTTTGGATTTGATAATTTCCAAACCATAATACATGGGTCAGGTGATTAAAATGGTTAAACCCAAACCACCCGACCCATTTACACCTAGGGATGGCAATGGGTCGGGTTGGGGCGGGTTTTGTCAAACCCAAACCCAAACCCATGGGTTTATCGGCCAAAAAAACCCGGGGTAAAACCCGTTGGGTTTGAAAAACTCAAACCCAACCCAACCCGCTGGGTATCCGCGGGTTCATGGGTACCCGTGGGTTTTTGTAGTAAAAAATTTACAATAACAAGTTTCTTTCAAAATAAAAGTTTAACATCAATTTTCTCATACAAATTAATCATACAAAAAAACACCAATCTAGAGCATACAAGCAAACCGCAAATGATCAATACAAATTGTTCAAAATTAAAGATAAACATCTATAAACAAAAGATTAATTGAAAGCTTCTTCCTCGTCAACTAAGTTTCTTCACTCTCCACTTCATAATATCAACTTCATTCTAAACAATTAGAAAGAACAAATTATACATGTCTCCACAAACATAAAGAATATTAATTGTTTAAGGAAGATATATTATTTAGAATATTAAATATATCGGGAAAATAATTATATGTGTGTGGGCAGGTACCCATGGGTCGGGTTTACCTAAACCCAAACCCAACCCAACCCGATGAATAGTGTAGCGGTTTTAAACCCGAACCCGGCCCAAAACCCGTCAACACGGATTTTACCCGCGTTGACCGGATTGGGTCGGGTGGGTACCCGTGGGTTCGGGTTTTTTTGCCATCCATATTTACACCCCTACTGCCAAATAGTGGATAATTATAACTATCTAGGTATATTTTGGCTCCGAGAAACGTTGGGAGCGTTGACGAGTTCAAGCTTCAAGGCACTGGTCCAAACTCTGGCTACCGCCGAAAAACCAAGCTCAAACTAACCGACAGATGATGAGGATTGGGAATTTGATTTCCCCAGTTCTTGGGCTGATTCCATTAATTTCCCTTTTCTCCCGGGATCAGAAATTCAAGTGCTTTTGCGTATTTTATACGAAAAAGATTAATACATTTGGCCATTTGGGTTCAGTGGTCTGAAATTCGCGGGAACGATGGCGGAGGGTTGGTTGGGACCCTCCGTAGCCAAGGGCGCTTCTTCCCTTCTCTTCCACACTCCCAACGTTCCTGCTCCCTTCTCTTCTTCCTCCACGAGCAGTTCTAGGTCAACACTCAGACAGCCGAGATCCGTCTCCATGGCGGCTTCAGCGTCTCAAAACCAATCATCCCCCAACTCCTCCTCAGAAATCTCCAGCCCTAGGCCTACACAGCCATCTCTTCTCGTCTTCTCCGGTGCGCCTCTTTCGAATTCGAGTTCTTATTCAGACACCCTTTCCATTTCGTTTCATTCTAAGGCATTTCTAGCGATGTGAAATTTTGAAGCTTTCCCTACTTCTGGCAGGTGGTACAGCGTTTAATGGCGTTGTGGAGGAGCTCAAGAAGTTGACAACTCGAGTGACTCATGTTCTTCCCGTCTCCGACGATGGAGGCAGTACAGCCGAGATTGTTCGTGTACTTGGTAATCTCCTCGCTCTAGCCTTGTTGCTTTCTCTATATCCCTACAATTTTATGAGTCTTGAATTGATAACTTGGTAGATGAGTTTGGTGGTATTATTTTCTTTGTTAAGGCGAGTAGAGGAGATGATGAGCTGCTGATTATGTGTTAGGTGGTCCTGCTGTTGGAGACATTAGGTCGAGATGTTTGAGGCTGTCTGATCAAAGCACGGTCGAGGCTCTGGCTGTTCGTAGCCTGCTTGGTCATAGACTACCTCTTGATGCACACGAAGCCAAGTCAGAATGGTAAGAGATTCATATCCAGCTGATGTGCTTCATTTATCAGCTTTGTTGATTCTTCTATGGTGGGGGAAGGGCTAGAGAATTGCGACCCTGGATTTAGGCCAAGAATGAGAAACTAGAGAACAGCGGTTGTAACCATTTTTTCCTTTCATGCTAATTAGAAAACTAAGGTTTTGTCAGCATTCTTCTGCTTTACCTTCTGATTGAAGTACATGATTTCACTTGCAGTTTCATTATGTTTTGCAGTCAAAAGTTAAGGCAGATTATGATTTCATTCGATATTGTCTCTTAAGCTAATAATAAGTTGATATGGTAACTTTATGGCTTTACTCAGTTTTTCTTTGTTCACGAGATGGGCTTGATCAGAGAGGGCTGAATTCTGGGAATTTCAGGTATAGCATTGTGGAAGGAAAACATGATCTATGGAATGGGTTATCTAGACCATACAGTGAAACTATCCGAGCCTTTCTTGTGTATTTCCAAAATGAGGTATGCAGAATTTTTAACTGTGTGCCTCGTGTTCCTGGCCTTTGATTTGTCAAGAACTTGGTCATTGAATGTCTGGAAAATTCCTTTTTTTTTCTCAAGTAAATGAAACTTCCACCGTAATGTAAGGAAACAATCGGATTCTGTTCAATAACTTCTTGATAAATCTGTGACAAAAAAAAAAAAAAAAGGAGAACCAAAATCGTGAAATCTCTACAAGGTGGTTGTTAACTGTTAACTTCCCTGTATTTCTTTTCTACTCAGATTATGCGAAGGCCCAATGAAGCATTTTGCTTCAGTAATGGCAGGTACTCAACCAATTTGCATGCACTTAAGTACTTGAAATCTTTATGCCCTAAGTAGTGTGAAAAACTACATGATCAAACCTTGTAGCAATTACTTGGAAAATGGAATACATGATTGAACAGGCCTGTGCAAGTACTCTGTTGTTTTCATTGCAGTATTTCCAATTCATAGGGTGACTGACAAATCTGATTCGTGTGTCTTTTATCTTGCTACCTAATACAAACTGACTGCCACCTTTTTGCAGCATTGGGAATTTCTTCTTTGCAGGAGCACGCATATTTTTTCAGTCTCTAGATGCTGCTATATTTTTGTTTTCACGTGTTTCAGATATTCCATCAGAAAGTTTGGTCCTTCCTGTGATCTCCACAAATGACAGGCTTACGTTAGGATGTGAATTATGGGTATTCCAATGCGCATTGTTATTGAAATATGGCAGATATGATGCACAACTGCTTTTCAGTTGCTATGATCTCACTTGGCCTGTGGCTCTGCTTTGGTTTATTCTCCATTTCAACATACTCTTTCTATGTCCATCAGAATGGAACTATTATACGAGGGCAAAATGAAATTTCTCATCCAACCAATGGCTCTATGCAACCCATTGACAAGGTATCACTGTGTAGCTTAAAGCTATAAGCCCTAGAGGTGATGATGGTTTGACTGGTAGTTGAAGGATAACTATATGGAGAAACCTTCTGATGTAGGACTTGTTTTCTCATGTAGGGATGTTGTTCAGCACTTCCGTCAAGGATAAAGCGTGTATTCTATATGTCAAGTGAAGGTGGGAATTCACTTCATGAGGTAAGCAAATCCATCTGTGCTTTATATTTTTATAAATGGGCTAAGGTTACGCTTGCTTTAAGCATTGCAGTGAGATTATCCTCCTCATATGCTGAATTGCTCTCTAACTATATTGTTTCTGGTTGGCCAGGTCTTCCCCACAGTAAATGCTACTGTACTGGACCAACTGAGCACAGTGGATTGCATTGTATATGCCATGGGATCCCTTTTTACTTCAGTTTGCCCATCACTGGTAACATTCTGAAATGTCCATTTGTCTCTTTGACATAGTGATTATTTTTCTACGTTTTCGTTGGTTGATATATATTCCTCGACTTAAGGAAAATTGGTAAATCTTTGTAGCTCTTGCCTTATGTTCAGGTGTTACGCGGCGTTGGAGAGAATATTGCTTTAAGGACCTGCCCCAAGGTAATGATTTTCAGACAGCTAGTTAAGTCGTCCAACTTAAGTTGATACAATGGTATATTAAACCCTACAGCCATTGCATACTTTGGTGACCCTATCATTGCCATGATACCGAACTGAATAACTGATGGAGGTCTCTTCTAAATGTTTTAGGTTCTTATGTTGAATGGTACACATGATCGCGAGACAATTGGGTTTTCTGCTTCTAGCTTTGTGACTGCAATCGCTGATGCCTTAAATCGCAGATATGGAGATCCTCACAATTGTCTAGGGTACTCTGTAAGCGGCATATTAAGACAGATCCCTCTTTTGGATTCTCATTTTGTTTTGCTGAGATTTGAAAACGTGCTGCTGTTTTATTGAAAGGCCTTGTCTTTCTTGTGAGCAGGAAAGCCAATATGTGAACACCCTTCTAGTGCCCAAAGGTGGTGCCATTCCCATAGACCTTCATTCCTTGAATGCTCAAGGGATCTTTGACGTGGTACGTGTATTTTCCGGATGCAGAATATGACTTTCCTTGTCTCTCAGTAATCATTTTGCTCCTAATGAAATGCATTACGTTCCTTTTCCCCTGTTTTGGGTGGGCAGATTGTTGTTGATTCAGTCGAGGATCCGAAAGTGGGCATAATATTTGATCCGGCATCGTTGATCAATGCGCTAGCTGATTTGATAGGAAGGCATATGAGCTCAAACGTGAAGGTTTAAATAAACCGGTTGTAGCTAGGAAGCCAGAGTAAGCATCTTCTGCTCCGTTTTGGGACGTTTGGGAGGTACAAATTCCATTATGATGCAATGCGAATAGCGAACCGTGGCCTGGATAGACGAAAAGAAGGATTCCCAGGCAGGCGAAGTTCAGAAATGGGTCATCCTGGGAAGATCAAATAGCATGGAGGCCATTGATGCTGCTACCCAGGATAACAGGCTGTTGTCAAGTCAAGACCGTAGATAATATATTCTTGTTGTAGAATTACCGACTTTGGATTAGCTGCATTTCATTACATGAACTGTTGATTGAAATAGAGTGTACCGTCATGTTTATACACACTAGCCAGTGGTTTTGACCCATTGCGGCAAGAGGATATGAAGCTACCATGGTGAAGAGGATATGAACCTACTCGTTATCTCATTGGACTTCAACATATGTTTCATTCAATAAGCAAATAATACAGTAGCATCCAAGGCCTCTGAGAAATTTAATCTTGGAGCAAGAAACAGCTATGGGAGGATTCATAAAAGGAACCATGAACAATGAGTTGTGGAGTCGAAATACAAGTACAGGGAAATCTCAATCACCTCTGTTCCGCCCAGCCGAGCAAACAACAGCAGAATTCAAGGTTTAGGAAGCTTTGCCGCTGTTAGGATTCGACTTGGTGCAGAGGACCCATCGTCCCTTCGCCCGTCGCCGCTTCAGAATCGCCCTCCCGCTAGTCGTTCTCATTCTTCGCCGGAATCCATGAGTCCTCGCCAGAGACTTCCTTGACCTGTTCCTCTTCGTCAGGCAAAGCGCAGCCTTCCCTGCTCTCACCACCAGTCCGCCGCTCCGCTTTCTTGATTCCCCGCCGGAGCTCAAACCCACAGTTCCCAGAGACAGACCTATAACGGACATTTTCCACCATTCGACACAATTAGCCGACGGAGAAATTCAGAGAGGAGAGACTCAGTTGACGACGCACGCACCTGAGAAGGAAGAAGAGAAGGAGGAAGTAGGAGAGGAGAGGAAAGAGCAGTGCAGCAGGCCGGAGCGAGACGTGGAGCTGGCATTCATGGAGAAATTCCTCCTGGATGTGGTGCCGGTGGTGAGGGAGAGAGAAGCGGAGACGCCTCCACGAGGAGAGGATTGAGCGGTTCTGCGCGGCGGCATCCATGCCGGCGACGACATTATGGTGACGGCAGCTGCCATGGCTTTTTTTTCTTGTCTTGGTTCTTTAGCTTTCTCCTTTTCGTTATCCTGATAAGGCTGAGGAAGTGAAGTCGCGAAGGGGACGATGAGTAAGAAAGAAGAGCAGAGGTGGGTGGAGGTGGAGTCCGTGGGATTTTGTGGATCGGTTAATCCGTACTAGGAGTTGGATCGGATCCGCTTTTAAGACAAAGCCTGCATGGTAGCCCACAGGCTCAACCCACGAAGAGCGGAGGTGAGGTGAATTGAATCGGATCTGCTTTGAAATGGGCCAAGCCTGCTTGGAAACCCACTCGAAATGATGGTTAAGATTAAACGAAGGGTATTTTTGGAATGGAAAAGATTTACCACATAATCATTTACCCTCCCATATAAATTAAAAACAAAACCCTAACTCCTCACATTCCCTCCTCCCTTTCTCACGCAGTCATCCTCCACCGCAGCAGTCCTCCACCGCCGCAACCCTCCATTGCTGCCGCGTCCTCTATCGCAGCAGCCCTCCACCGCCGACACCGCCACCCCTGTCTCCCGCAGCAGCCCTCTACCGCTGTCGTATTCGCAATCCTCAGTTCCCTTCCACCCCATGTCGTCGCAACGTCCCCTCCGACCACCGCGCGGCAATCATCCTCTCCCCGTCAAAGCCCTCTCGCCGCCCTTCATCTCCCACCACTGCCGCCGCGCGAGGTCACCCTCTTCCCCTACCTACCTCTCTCTCTCCCGTCACCGACTCCCCTTTTCTAGATCTAGTTTTTTAGTGGTACCATTTTTCTTCTGGTAGCGTACCAGTGATAGTGGTACCTACCACTACCATCAGGTAGCTGGTAGTGGTAGCATACTGCTATCATCAGGTACCACTACCATCTGTTTTTTTGTGTTATTCTCTACTGGCACCGCTACCAATACTAGTGGTACGATACAATATGGTAGTGGTAGCATTGTACTGGTAGCGTACCACTAGTACTGGTACATTTTTTAACGCACTGGTAGCGTACCACTAGCACTAGTATATTAATTACCAGTAGACTAATGTATTGGTACACTTTTTAACGCACTGGTACATTTTTTCAGGTTGCCGGAGGGAGTCTGCCGGAGAGAATTTGCCGGAGAAAAAGTTTGTCCGTCGATGCAGAGTGGCCTTTGAAGAAAGTAAGAGAGAGAGAGAGAGAGAGAGATAGATAGAGATATTAATGTATAGGATTTAGATTTTAAAAAAAATTGTATTTAATATGGGTTTTTAATTCCCGATATAATTAATACAAAAAGGTAATTAATATATTCCTTTTTTTCATACCCAAAATACCGTTGGTTGTCACCGTATCCCGTCCCCCATCAGAGGTATTACGGTGCTTGATGATAGGTTGAATTAATTGATTTTGGAGTGCGAAACTATACCATATCTGTTGAAGAAAACTTCTACTATGCTATATAGTATCACTCCCGTAATGTACAACTTAAAGTTGTACCATAACATTAAATGTATAAGTTTAGGTTGTACCATAAAGCAATTTGTACCCTTATGTTATGATACAACTTTACAACTTGAAGTTGTACCATCACATATAGGTACAAGTTCAAGTTGTACCATAAAAGAATTTGTAAAAAAAGTATAGGTACAATCTGAAGTTGTACCATAACGTAAATGTACAATTTTAAGTTGTACCATAAAGGCAAAAACCTATAGCACCAATACTATATAGCATTGTAAAATTTCTCATCTGTTGATGTTACTTGAATCAAACTATTTGTCGAGGTTTGACATGTCTTCAACAAAGCCTTTTAATACTCCTAGTGTTTCAAATATTAATCTATCTTCAGTTTATGCACCGCAGTCAGAGGCTGAGAAGTACATGTTGAGAGTCTCATATGTTAGTGCAGTTGGTAGTTTGATGTACGCTATGGTATGCACTAGACCTGATCTTTCACATGCTGTTAGTATTGTTAGCAGGTTCATGATACAACCTGTGAGGATCTTCCGGTACCTTAAGAGTACGTCGGATGTGGGGATTAGTTTCGAAAGTGATACAAAGTGCTTAGTGGGTGGTTGTTTAGATTCTGACTATGATGGAGATGTTGACACGAGAAGATCGATGACCGATTATGCATTCACTATTGGGAGTTCTGTAGTGAGCTGGAAGACAACTCTGTAGTCGACAGTGACATTGTCTACTACTGAAGCATAGTACATGGCATTGATAGAAGCTGCTAAGGAGGGAATATGGTTGAAGGGGTTGGTTGGTGATATGGGTCTACAACATGATCAGGCGGTGGTGTATTGTGACAGTTTGAGTGCAATATGTTTGGCCAAGGATCAAGTCCACCATGAGAGGACTAAACACATCGATGTGAGGTATCATTTCTTGAGAAACAGAGAAGAGGATTAAGGTGAACAAGGTCGACACCGCCAATAATCCTGCTGACGTGTTCACGATGTCAGTTCCACATGGCAAGTTCCAACACTACTTGGACTGCTGAATGTCTTGAGTGGGTGGACATTGATGGAAGGAGGGAGAGAATGATCAGAGTACATAAGAGATTTTAGAGGAAGATGATTCAAGTCAAGGTGGAGATTTGTTGATGTGACTTGAACATGACTATCTGGCACTACGACTGGATGTTAGGGGGGTCCAAAGGGAACGCCCCCGATCCACGGTTATTGGGCACAATGTTGTTTGGGTTCGTGTTGTGGGTCTGGTCTGTTACTGTTTTTCCTTTACCCTATTGGATTAGGGTTAGACTTTGGAGAAGTACTATAAATACATCTCATACTCCTCTATAATCTGTATCTCCTCGAAGTATAGTGAAACTAGCCCTATCTTGCCCGTGAACTAGCTAACACACATTGTGTTAATGAAACCACGTAAATCGTGTGTGGTGTGTGTGCTTTCGTTTTCTTGCATTGTCAAATCCTCCAATTTTTCGATCGGTAGAGAATCAGTGTGACACTAACCCTTAACAAGTAAACTATAACCCTAATTATCTAAAAGTCTAAACCATAAACCCTTAGAATAAATAAGAATCAATGATTATTATATATAATAAAATTGATTTTAGGGTATATAATTTAGAGAATTGGAATATAATTTCTACTAATTAAGATTTAAAGTACAATACCGTGTCGCATATTCAGATTAAATCCACATCTATAGACTCGCATGATTGTTGTTCCAAATTTAGAAAATTGATTTTATTAGGTATATGTGATGCTCTCAAATTTACCTAAAAATACTATAGACTCGCATGCTTGTCGTTCCAACAAAACACCAATGTATGCTTCTGGTTTCTGTAAAGGAGAAAACAACCTTAATCGTTGGAACTAAATGCTTCTGGTAATATATTATGCTAGGGTTATATATATATATTTGTCTGGCTGGCTCTTCTTCTAAATATGGTTCTGGTTTATTTCGAACCTCCCGTCACTTGTCACGACGCTCTTCTTCTAAATATGGTTCTGGTTTATTTCGAACATCCCGTCACTTGTCACGTCGTGACAAGTGACGGGATGTTCGAAATAAACCAGAACCATATTTAGAAGAAGAGCCAGCCAGACAAGTACCTACCCAACAACGTGACAAGTGACGGGAGGTTCGAAATAAACCAGAACCATATTTAGAAGAAGAGCCAGCCAGACAAGTACCTACCCAACCAATCAACCTGCTAAACCATGAGGTTCGTTGGAAAGATGGGTATGTGCTGCTTAATTATGTTATGCCTACACAAGAATGATTGAGTGAGCAAGTTGCCAGAGCAGGCAGCGGAATCAAAAGGAACGCTAATATCATAGCATAGTGGCATTCACCATTTCCCCTCGGGCACAGCCCATCATCTTATCCACAGCCCACCACCTAACTCCAAAAAAAAAAAAAAAACCCCCCCCCGAGTTTAAGTTGACTGCTCCCAATCGAAATAGGAGATAGGTTATATTGTAAAAAAAAAAAAAAAAGAGATATTAGTTATTATTATGATTCTGAAACCGTACCTGATTAAAATTATGGTTTAATTAAGGTTGAATAAATTTTTTTTATCTCTACAATCGCCTACTGATTTGGGACTCGTACTAGATATTTTCGGTCCAATCAAATGGTACAATGGAGTTTCTTAAACATTGATTATTATCTTACTATTTCTTATACCGCATTTTCTAACCTTGGAGTTGGATGTTTAAATTATTTATTTATTAACGGCACATTTAAAGGCGGCGCTCCTACCTTTATATATTAAAGAAACGAGGAATTTGAACTCAAATATTATCAAAGTACAACCAATATGTAAACGCACTCTTTCGATGAACAAATGAACTTAGAGGTGTCAATTTTTTATACAATCCACCTATTTATTAGTTATCGATATAACCGTTAACCACCTATTCCGGCTCGATTATCAATTACAATGCTCACGAGATAATCGTTTACCAATCCTAATGTTGCACTTATTATTACAGAATATTTTATTATACTACAAATAATTCACTATTATGTTTAAAACATAAATGCAATTATAATCTAAAACAAGGTCCAACTATAACCAATTTTCTCAATTTTTATCCACACCCCAAAAATTAAATTCCCAAACCCCACCCTTTTGATATCGACGAAGCTTACATCACTATCATGTTGAAATGTTTCACTCGGTTTTTAAAATATCGCTTTAATGAGGTGAATACTAGGTCATTGTCTTGCCTTAATTCGACGAATGAGTTTGCTGCTTTTGAGAAGGAGAAACTAAACTCATATTCGATTCTATCTTAATGGAATAGGCAATCCGCTCTCTTAATGCATTATTTGAAAATCAAAAAGCAAAGTAAGAAAGGGTACATAACTCTGAAGGTTGACATGGAAAAGGCTTATGATAGAGTCGAATGGCCTTTTCACCTTGCAATTTTGGACAATATGGGCTTCAACTCTACTTGGACGATTGGTTTGATCCGGCAACTTGTAGAGCCATTAAATCTTTTCCTCTCCCTCAATGGGATGTTGAGGATAGATTAATCTGGCATGACATGGCTGATGGGATTTTCTGTGTTAGATTTGCCTATCATCTGGTCGTCTTGTTAGATAGGCAGGAGGGTCGATGGATATCATAGCTGGATGGATAGATCCAGTTGGATTCGTCTCTGGGAAATCAATATTCCACCAAAGTTAAAA